ATACACAAACAATTCCATGGCTGAGGAAGAACTTGCAAGTGCAGTTCCCTTTAAAATAGCAGAGAAAAATCTTAAATACCTTACAATAAACTTAACCAAGGATGTGAAAAGACTCTATGGTGAAAATAAACAACATTTAAAAATAGTAAAAAACATTAAAACACGGAGAAATTTACCATTTTCCTGACTCAGTAGAATCAACGCCATCAAAATGTCCATATCACTGAAAGTAACACAGATTCAATAGAATTCCAATCAAAAACCCAACAATATTCTTCTCAGAAATAAAAAAAGATGATACAAACATTCACATGGAAACACAAGAGGCCACAAATAGCCAAGCTATCATGAAAAATAAAAATCAACCTGGAGGAATCAAAATTCCAGACCTAAAACATTCTATAGGCAGGGGTAATCAAAACCATCTGGTATTGATAGAGACACAGAGAAGATCAATAGACTAGAACAGAAACCCTAGAAGTGAGCCCACACATCTACACCAATTACTCTTCAACAAGAGAGCTGAAAATAACCCAGGGAAAAATTGTGATCTCTTCAACAAATGCAGTTGGGACAAGTGGATAGCACAGTAAGAAACTTTCCTGTCACCTTATACAAAAATCCACTCTAAATGGCTCAAAGATCTGAATCTGCACCCAGAAAACATCAAACTATTAAAGAAAACATAGGAAGCCCTCTTCTATAAGATACAAGCATTGGTAAAGACTTCTTAGCAACATCACCAAAAGCACAGGATGTCATAGCCAATTAAAATCTAGAATCTTTCCTTCTCTGCCTTTCCATGTTGTTTTGCTTCTGTGCCACACTATAGAAGGAGTCTGGGTTCCTGGCTGACAAGAAATGAGACAGTTCTCCATCCCTGAACATGTGATTGTGGGTAAGCTGCTGAGCCTTGGGGTCTTACTTGTCTTCACAGCAAACATTTACTTAATACATTCAGACGAGAAAAGTACAACTTGATGTATTTAATGTATTCATCATTGCTGAAAATTTTCTTTTTTTTTTTTAGGACTTATTTATTTTTATTGGAAAGTCAAATAGACAGAGACAAGGAAAGACAGAGAGAGGGGAATCCTCCATCCGCTGATTCATCCCCAAGCAGCTTCAATGGCCAGAGCTTCACAGATCTGAAGCCAGGAGCCAAGAACTTCCTCTGGATCTCCCACACAAGTGCAGCATTCCAAAGCTTTGGGCCTTCCTTGACTGCTTTCCCAGGCCACAAGCAGGGAGCTGGATGGGAAGAGGGACTGCTGGGATTAGAATCAGCGTCCACATGGGATCCTGGTGAGTCCAAGGTGAGGACTTCAGCCACTAGGCCACTGCTCCAGGTCCAAGAAGTTTCTTTTATGAGTACTCTAATAAACAGCATCTCACTTTTATTTTCTTAAAATCTGTTATATTTGATGAAAATCACATATATATAACACATTTATATTCCAGTCTGTATATTTCTTTGCAAACTTAAAAAACTATAATAAAAAGATAACTGCAAAAGATGCAAATACTTACATTAAGCATTTTGCTTTCAAAAACCCATAGGCCTTGCACGCCCGGGATCCCATATGGTCACCGGTTCTAATCCTAGCAGCCCTGCTTCCCATCCAGCTCCCTGCTTGTGGCCTGGAAAAGCTGTTGAGGACGGCCCAAAGCCTTGGGATCCTGCACCCATGTGGGAGACCTGGAAGAACTCCTGGCTCCTGGCTTTGGATTGGCTCAGCTCCAGCCATTGCAATTGCTTGGGGAGTGAACCATCAGATGGAAGATCTTTCTCTCTGTCTCTCCTCCTGTCTGTATATCCACATTTCAATAAAAAATAAATAAATCTTTAAAAAAAAGAACCAAAACAAACAAACCAAAAAAAACCCATAGATCAACAAAGAATTTGCAATAAAAATGGAGCAGTGGGAAATCCCTATAACTATGGAACTGCTGCATATAAAATAAAATATCTTAAAATAAGTAACTAAATAGAAATTATGGATATCTTAAACCAAATAAATATGTAAAGTAAGTAAACCTTAAATAGACATGCTGAAAATAAGATGAGCCATTATAATATATTGGTTTTAAAAATAATAGTAATAAGAATTAATAAAAATCGAAGGTAATGGAAGAAAACAAAAAGAAAAGGAAAAAATCTATTAAAACCTCCATAAAGAAAAACAATGAAATCAAATGCTCTTTTATGAAAGGACAAATAATAATTGTAAAACTATAGCAAACCATGAAAACAAATAAAAGGAGAAATAAATATTAGAGATGATTTTTTTAAATAATCACCAGAAAATTTAAAGAGGTTGAAAGATAGCAAGGGATGGTTGCTTAGCTTGGTGCTTTTGATGCTGCTTCAAACCTCTGCAGCGCACAGTGGAGTACCTGAACCAGACTCTTGGCTCTGCTCCCAACCCCAGTGCTCGCTCATGCCATCCTAGTGAGGCCAAGGAGGGATGCTGTCGGAAAGCGCAAGGCACAGTAGCCGGCTTCATACTGGCCAAATCGTCATGTCTGACTGCACAAGCTACAGAACAAGGAGTGTGTGATTGAGGCCCTAGGCAGGATGAGGCTCAAGTTCCCTGGTCACTAGATCTACATCTCAAAGAAGCAGGAATCTACCAAGCTCAATGCCTGCAAATTTGAAGACATGGTCGTTGGAAAGCAGCTCATCTCTGAAAATCATGAGGTCAATCATGGTCACTTCACAAAGGGGTGAGCCTCCACTCATGAGGACCTCTACATTCTGTGCTCCATAAGGATCAACAGTGATAAATCCTGCTTGTTGTTAAAAAAACAAACTAAGAGAAGCTAGAGGAAGTTCATTAACTGTGACAAGAGGCTAGAATGAGAATTTAATAAGGGAAAAGGAGCATGAAAACTTTTATTATCACTTCAAAATTTTGTCTTATAAATTTAAAACCATTCTGAAATAAAATGTTAAAGTCATATTATGAGAAAACTGTATAGATTCCAAATATTTTTAAATGATTTAATTATATGAAAAGTAGAATTACAGAGAGTAAAGGAGAGACAGACAGTGGGGGAGATTTTTTAGCCAATGATTCACCACCTAAATGGCTGTACTGGATGTGAGTATGCCAGGCTGAAGCCAGGAGCTAGAAGCTCCTTCTGGGTCTCTCACATGCGTACAGCGACCCAAGGACATGGACCATCCTCTATGGCTTTCCCAGGTGGCATTTTCAGGGAGTAGGAACAGAGGTGGAGCAGCCAGGAGCCGATCCAGTGCCCCCTATGAGATGTCAGCACTACAGGCAGTAGCTTTACTGGATACTCTGCACTGTTGCCCCATCAAAATTCTTGGCAGTAAAATAAAAGGATCTTTTTATTCTATTCATCAGAAACTTCTTGGAGACTCTTCATGTGTTAAAGATGTTAGTTTCACTTTAAAATTTTACCTTATTATTCATTGGAGAAACAAAAATCAAAACAAATATTAAGGGCACTAGCATTTTGATTCAGTGGACTAACCCACAACCTGCGATGGTGACATCCCATGAGAGCACCCATTTGAGAACTGACTGTTCCACTCCACACCAAGCACCCTGTGAATGTACCTGAGAAAGCAACAGAAGCTGCCCAAGTTCTTGGCTGCCTGTTACACACGTGGAATGTTCAAGTGTCAAGTTCGTCCTTCAGCCTCACCCAGCTCTGGCCCTCTGGGCAAAGTTGGAGAAAAGATAGAAGATCTCCCTCTCGCCCTTTCTCTGAAATTACGCTTTCCAAATAAATAAGTCTTTTTTTATAAAAGTAATAAAATTGGCATACTATACACTCCCCACAATTGCTAAAGTTAAGAAGATAGCAAATACTAAGCATTGTCATAATATGAAGTTTCTGGGATTTTCATATGAGAGGGAATAATAGTTGTAACTACTTACCAGATACAAAAATCAAGTTAAATTTCACATGATTCAGGATCCAAAAATCATACTATGTGGTCCTACTTACAACATGTCCAAAATCGGCAAAACTCAAATCGATCCCTATTGTGGAGAATAGCAGAGGTCGTGGAGAGGAGGACGTGCAAAAGGAATTTGGGGACTATGTAAAGTTGAATACTGATTTGATTAATGGTTAAACTGTTACGTTCACTTTCCTCAAGTTAATTTTTTCTAGAATTAGACAAAATATCTGCAGATATGATAACTTAAGAAATATTGGTTTTCATCCCGAAAACTCTATGGTCTTTTTGTTACAAAAAAGTTATAATTAACTGAAAAAACACAGTCGCCTTGAATGAATCCTGAACAAATCAGTAAGAGAAGCTCAACATTAGTCAGCACAGAACTTCAGCTGAAGGAAGCTTAATGCAACTTTATTACAATGGAAGAAAACACGTATTTGTTCCAGATTCAGAGAAGAAAAACCAAAAGCAACCCAAATATTGAAGACTTTTTGCACAAGTGTAACAGAAAAACAGCAGACTGGTTTGATTCCCCACAAAGACTGAAAGAATAAAACTTGTGAATTCAACAGAATCAGTTGAGACATTGTTGTTCTTGCTAATTAACAAGAGAAGTGTAAATGTGGCATTTAACACTTAGATTTTCAACTGTTGAACAGACGAGAATAAACTGGAAAACCTTGGGCCCAAACTGTAAAAAGGCTTTAGGAAATGTGTACACACAATACTTGCCATCTCTGCCACTTTCCCCATGTAAGCCCCAACTTGCGGTCTTTGTTTTTGAAAAACCGAGGTCTGGACTCTCAGGGAGTAACTGTCTTGTCCTCCTTGTTACCTAACTTTACTCAATGAGAGCTTTTTATAGAAAGGGAACTTTAAAAAAAATAGATTTATTTGTCTTGGAAAGGCAGATTTACAGAGAGAAGAGACAAAGACCTTCCATTTTCTGGTTCGTTCCACAGATAGCTACAATGGCTGGAGATGAGCTGAACTGAAACCAAAATCTTCTTCCAGATTTCCCACGTGGATGTAATGGTCTATGACTTTGGGCCACAAACAGGGAGCTGGATGGGAAGAGGAGCAGCCAGGAGAGGAACTGGAGCCTGTCTGGGATGTTAGTGCTCACGGGCAGAGGATTAGCCAGTTGAGCCATTGCAACAGCTCAATTCACTCAGAGATGCAAGGAAAATTTGATTTCATTTTGTTCCTGACTCTTTTGTCCCTGACTCTTCATGGGTACTGTCCCCTCAGTAGTACAACCAGCTGCTTATATTCTTGAGAAGAAAAGACTTCCTACCGTCTTTTCTACATGGCAATAAATTTCCTAATTGTATAATCCAGGAATTCTAAAACATAAACATCACCAAAAAAGCAAATTCTCATGGACCATCCAAATCTATTCATTGGAAACTGGGCAGACAATCATCGAGGCTTTTAAACTTTGAGAACCACTGATTTAGGTAGATTTGTGTTTGATGAGTTTCTGATGTTGCAATAAAAGTAAGTGGCCATTATGAGAAATAGAGATACAGAAGAATTGTGAAAAGTTAAGAGATCTGAGCTCTTTAAAGTTAATATCTGGAAGATTTTCTTATATGTAAATTACTCTCGCTAAGCAGAACACACATCCTAAAAAAGGCTAAAACTGATTTTATTTCTGGTCTCTGTTCTACACCATAAATACCTTTGTGTTAGCAGTTTTTTCAAGCTACAAATAGCTCAGGATCTCACCCTCAGCCTTTTTGACTCTTTGTATTAGTTAGGGTTCATTACACATATGATGGTTCTTTAGGATTAAGATATTAAAGTATAGAATATTTACAGCTCTGTTTTTCCTCTTCCTGAAATCCCTTTAAAAAGCAATGAACATAACTGAAGAAAAGAAAAGCGCAAATTCTTTTTTTTTTTTTTCACAATTTCAGGTACTCTAACCCTAAACCTCAATGTTTGTAGAAGAACTTCCAAGTGCAGACAGGTGTAGGAAAGCCAATCAGAAAACCTGCAGACCTCAAACAAAGCCAGCAGACCATAGGCAGTTTAAATAGGGATGGCATTCCCAGGAGCAAAAGCAACAACGTGTTTTGTTTAAGTTCTTTTCTGCTTAAGAAAAGAAAATGGAACTTTCAAGCTGGCTGGAAAAGGTTCAGTGGATGCCATTTGGCACCATAGAGCATCCCACAGCACGTCAAGAGTTCCACAAGGAAACACAGAGATGGAGTGCAGGAGTGAAACTCAGGGATGATGAAGTCTTCGAAAACCATTGACCTTTATCAGATAAGACGTCAGGGCTGAAAAATGTGTTCAGACACTAAGTGTAGCTTCCTGAGTTTATTTGCATTTCAAGGTGAGGTACTGATACCCCACAGGACTTACCATGATTTCTTTCTCACACAAGTCTCCTGCACAAGCCAGATCGCAAAGAACTCACCGCATGCAATCATTCAAGTTTGAGCAGCACTGGGTCATCCTCAAAGTGCTACCAAAAGAAACAGGAGGGCTGAAAATAATAGCATGCCATACATAATGTCACAGTGTTCATAAAAATTAACAAATGAATCAGATGTTCACACAAAATGCATGGAACTTACGGAAAATAAAGAGAAGGAGCTGGGAGGGCTTAGAAAAGGTTGAATGAATTGAGAAACAGGGAAAATGTTTGAAGCTTCACTTCCCACAGTGCACTGGAATGCATATTGTTAAATAACAAACCAGTAAACCAGGCCAAGATGCATGAAATATGAGAAAACACAACTGGAGAATGAATTTAAAAGCAATAGCCAAAAATGGGGTGAAAAGAATATTCAACTGTGGAATTGAAAAAATATTTTCTAGAAATGTAAAACTAAGTTTAGAAGTGAAAAAGTGATGTTAGTCAGGAAGAACTGGTGCTGAGTGATCACCACTAACACCTAGCCTCGTGGACTTTTTAATCTTGCCAGAGTAAAACGAACCGTGCCTGCTGGCATCAGTTACGTAAACAAAATCACCAACCGGGAAATTTCAACTGGCCTTGGAGACTTCTTTTCAGCATTTTTCAGTGATAGAACAGACTGACAAATGCTTACAATGCTTTCAACAACAAAAAAGTGTAACCCGGAAGTTTTATAATGACAATTTTTTTCTTTGAGTATAAAGACAAAAGACACATGTGTGTGTGAATTCTAACTCCTATCATCCCTTTAAAAGAAAACTAATAGATCCAAATGACTAATATGGGGACTGTAGACTTAGGACATTGAATTTGTTTTACAAAAGACTGAGACCAAAAAGATGATGAAATTACAGTTACAAAATCAAAGGAAAACATCATAAGTAACAAAAATAAAGGAAAAGAAATCCAAAAGTGTATAGAGGAGGAAAAAACATATAGAGTGTTATGAACGCACTCTTTGTGCTTGATAGCTAGCAATCAATAATTTTTAAACTAGTAGAAAACAATGGAGGCATAATTTCTTTAAATATGTTGAATTTTGGCACACAGTAGAAAAAGCGTTCATCTGTAAATTCATAGTGAAATCAAAACACACACTGGAGAATGATAACACTTTTGTCATTGCACATAATGGAGATTCAGTAGTTACCATCTAAACAGGCACAGTTGTAGTAAGGATATTCATATGACACCACATTATGGTAGAACATAAGCACTGAAGGAACCAAAAATGCTTTCCACACAGATCCTACCTAATGATGCTTTTCTCATTGTCTCTCCAACTCGCATATGGATCTCCTACATTCGCATAGACATACCAAAGCATGTGCCTACATGTATGATAACCAACGCACAACCATCTATAAACAATGAGGAAACTGATTTCAAATCCCCACAAAGGCACTGGGAACCCTAAATGTCACAAAAAATAAAGATGTGAAACCACACTATGAGAAGTCTGAGGAGAATGTGATGAAAAAACTTTAGAACATAGAAAATCATCAGAGAAATAGTGGGATATTGCATAGACATAAAGAGAGCAATTTTCCAAGAAGGTATAAAAACTGCTAATGTATATGCACCTTATAAAATCATGACGTTACGTAAAGACAAACTGGCACAACTGAAAAGACTCAAATAATAAAAGTCAGGCAAATATATCACTTGAATAAATACAGATAGGCTCACATTTTTATTAAAAGGAAAGGAGTCCCAGACTGCACAAAGCTAATATACAAATTTATGCTTAGAAAAGATGCAAACCCCACGCAAAGTTTCCCCAAACAATGGAAATAAAATGAAATATAAAATAAAACCAAATGAAAATCAAAAGTGAATATAGACAAAATGTGGAAAATGAGTATAAGTAATCTTAATATCTGAATATACTGAATGTGGAAAAAAAGAAAAAATAAAATGAGTAGTGAAAATAAAAATGGAAATACATAAATTATTAGCATAACTGTGGAAATAAAAGGATTCTCATATATGAATTTGGAGAATTAACAGTAAATCATTGAAAATCTGGATAACATAAATGGAAAATTTTAGGAAAAAGATGTAAGTAGTTTTGCAATTACTAAATGAAGAAATAATTTATGAAAACAATGTCAAATGCATCCTAGAATAGTTCATATTGCTAAAATCAAAGATTTAACAGTTCTACTCAAATAGTATAACCACATCCATAAATTAGCGAATACAAAATGTTCAAATAAAATAGAAACAAAGCAGTATTAGCAGTAAGAGACTATACTATAAAAGAAATCTCTGTCTAAAGCTAATCAAATGGAAAATGTATTTGTAGCTATAACAACCTAAAGAACATGATCAGGATTACATGATCAGTAGTACTACAGGCCTTATGGATATCTTATGCAAGATTTCACCCTAAAGATAGAATATATGTATAATTATTAATTAAATGTGAAGCATACCCAAACCATTCTGTATAATCAAGAGAACACAAATGAAATCTTAATAATTTTAAGCATATTCAGCATAAAAAATTTCTGCCATTCCTATAAAACAAAAGATGACACTTATTTTAAAAGTGTCAGAAATTTAATAAGTTTCTATTAAGCAAATCTTGGGTAAAAGTGAAAATACAAGTGAAATCGCAGAATATTCAAAAATGAAAGCAAATGGATATTTGGTGTGGTTAATAAGATGGAGTTTAAGAAATACACCTTCCATACTGAAGTGTCTTCGCTCAGTATCCAGTTCCAGTGCTGACTCCAATTCCTCCCGAAGCCAACCTTGAGAGGCAATGGTGCTGACTGAGGTCACTGGGCTCCTGTGCCAAGTCCCTGGCCCTTAGCTTCAGCTCTAGCCTGGGGCCATTTGAGGAATGGACTGGATCAAAACATGGCATTTCTCTTTGTTCTCTCTCTTTCACCCTTCCTCTTTCTCAGCTCTCAAATAGCTTTCTGTTCATTTACACAAAATAATAAAACATTGTAGCAAAATCTTTGGGATACATTTAAGGCAATAATTACAGCAAAGTTTATATACATGGTGATCAACAGAAATGCTTCAATAAAAATGAAAATTAAAAGGATAAAATGCAATTATGAAAAAACTCAAAAGGGGAGGTGTTTTAGTATAGTAGATTAAGTCTACCTGCAGTGTTGGTATTCCATATTAGAATCCCTGATTCAAGTCCCAAATTCTGTGCTTTCCATCTGTGTCTGAGAAGGCAACAGAGGATGATCCAAGTTCCTGTTACCCACACTGGGGACCAGGATGGAGCTCTAGCTCTCTGGTTTTTGCCTGGCCCCATCCTAGTCATTTTAATCTTTTGGCAAGTGTACCAAAGGATGCTTCTATCTTTTTCTCTCTTTTTCTCCCTCTCTCTTATTTTTCCTTTCTTTGTGACACTGTCTTTCATATAAATACTACTTTTAAGTTAAAGCTGAAGTTTAAACAAAACAAACCATTAGCTAACCAATTCTCAGAAAACTCAAATAAGCAAGGTAACAATTTTTCACCTTTTTCGTGATTATTAGGTTAAAATAATTTTAAAATTAAACACAAAGGGTATTTTTTGTACTGCTCTGTGCAATACATTTTATTTAAAGAGCGATTATTATTATTATTATTTACCTGACAATCAGAGTTACAGAGAGAAAGAGAGAGAGATAGAGATCATCCATCCACTGGCTCGTTGCCCAAATGGCCACAATGGCCAGAGCCCAGCTGGAATGAAACTGGCAGCCAGGAGATTCTTTCAGGTGTCTGATGAGGGCATAACTTCCTAAGCCTTGGGCATTCTGCGCTGTCTTTCTAGGCCATGGACAGGGAGCAGGATTGGCGCTAGGCAGCCAGGTCTAAAAACCAGCACCCATGTGGGATGCCAGCACTACAGGTGGAGGATTCACCACTGCAACAGCCCCTCTTTACAATGTATTTTAAAACCTATGCCAAATAAATAATTTCCTTTAAAAATTATTTTACGAAACTCACCCAGTAAAAATAGAAAGCGAAAACGAACAGAAGCTATGTATCTAGACTAGAATTCTCAAGCCAGTATGTAACTGAATGAGTAAATCAATCATTCTCACTGAAGTCAAGAACAAGATTTAAATTCCCAAATTCACCACCACTCCAAAATTTTTTACAGATTAGGCCATTAGAAAAACAAAATCTATTGAGAAATCAAAAAACATAAAAAAGATATAGCAAAAGTATAGCGAAAGATATCTGTGCAAATTATCAAATACATTTGATACAAACATATACTTAGTGCTTTAATTTCTTTACATGAAACAAACAGTAAAAGCTAATTTAGGCTGTAAAAAAATATCAAAACAGTGATTGTGACAAGATGATGATTGGGACCTTACTGGAAAGAGAAATAATGGAACGACAGAGTTTACAAATTTTCCAGAACTCATTGAAAATTGCATGTAAGATTTTAAAACTTCATTGTGTACAAATTTACTCCCCAAAAAACCTAGTAAATATTTAGCACTACTGGAGATTGTGTACAATGAAGCATTTTGATAATAGTGATATCTGCAATCTATTTTAAATGTGTTCACATATCCCATGGAGTGTTAAATGGATAGGTAGAGCATCATGAGATTTTTAAAAATTTGTGAAAAGTAGATTTAGAATACAAGAATCACCAAATTCAAGACATTTTGTGCACATGTAGTCTATGACTAAAGAATTTAGAGCTCCAGAAAGTAACTATGCTAATGCACTTTTGTTTGTATTATTAAGATTGGGAAAATGAATATGTTTTGGATTTTCTGTTAAGGTGAGAGGAAAAAATGTCCACCACAAGGGCTCAATGGCTAAGTCCTCACTTTGCAAGCGCTAGCATCCCATGTAAATGCCATGTCACTTCCTGGCTGCTCAACATCCCATCCAGCTCACTGCTTGTGGCCTGGGAAAACAGTGCATGATGGCCCAAAGCCTTGGAACCCTCAACCCATGTTGGGGACTGGGAGGAGGCTCCTGGTTTCTGTCTGTGGATCAGCTCAGTTCCAGACCTTGCAGCCATTTGGGGAGTGAGCCAGCAAATGTAAAAGCTTTCT